ATTTCACGGCTCAGGTCTGGGCCATACGCAGTCATACTAGTGAAAACACTGTGTATTGAATGAACTGAAATCATTATGTAACTATACTAGGGGAGTGATGCGTGGGACGGGTGTGGGGGAGGGGAAGAGCTAACCTCTTCTCGAGGGGGAAGTCAACGGCTGGGATATCCAGACGGGGCTCTTTAGATATAAGGAGGCAAACACCATGAATCTGCTCCCAGCTGAAAATGGCTGCCTCCCAAGAGGAGAAATGGGGAGGGTAATCTTCAGAGGGCAACTTGACTCTCGGCCTGGATAAATAATTTTTATTTAAAAACTAATAATAATAATTTTTAAAATTAAAAAAATACACTCCCATCCCTGCCCCTCCCACTTTGGTGATTTCTCAAGAAGCTGAATACACGGGAGGACATATCGTTGCTGACCGCCTTGGGAGTGCGTTCATTGCAAGCTATGCTAAGCAGATGCACCCAGCCTATAAGCAGGCCTCTGAAAAGCTCAGAAAAACTGGGGATAGATGGAAACCGAGATGGAGCTGAAACATCAGGAGCCACACCTGGTGCCTCCTGACACCTAGGGAGGGTTCCCAAGCCTCTCGGTGCTTTCATAGAGTTGACCCTGGGATAAAATTCAGTAGGGGCCAGGCTGTGCACAGACCACCTGCCTGCAGGAACCCTGGAAAGGGAGACGGGAAGAGGTCGGAGGTGTGCGGTGGCCCTGTTTGGTGGGCAAGCTTCCACCAGACCCCACCGTGAGACCGCACGATCTTTCCTCAGGTCCTGCTGCTGGCTGTCCTGGTCCTGGAAGCTAGAAGCCCGGGTCTCACCATGCCACTACTCATCCGTGTTTACAGAAAGCAAGGTCATTATTTACAAGAACAGAAACACTGAGCTAATTCACTCTGAAATACACCAAACAGAGCAGCAGACAAAAAGAAAACAGAAACTTCTGGGTAATAAAGGGCAGTGCGTCCTGGCCCGGCAGGGGCTTCTTGTGGTCAGGCTTTCCCGCTAGCCTCTGTTGCCCAGGCCTTGCTCTCTGCTGATGGGCAGACCCTTCCCAATATATTAACTAATCTACTATTTCCACAAGTAATCCAATTTTCCACAAGTGCACTTTCTTCCCAGATCACCCAGGACCCCGAGCCAAGTAATACCAGTACCCAGAGCTCCCTGGGGCCCCATTCTCAAAGCTTTTCCAGAGATGTGTTCTGGGCAGGCTGAGTCACACAGCTCTCATCCTTGGGGCCACAGAGGACACAGAGACACTCGGGCCCCCACCTCTCAGCAAGCCTCTCCTCGCTCCTTTTGGGAAGCAAGCTTTCTGCTTCGACCAAGATTGGAAAGACACAGAGGGAAACTCGAGTCCTGGATCTAAATCCCCAAAAGCCGATGTGAGGGCCAGGAATGATGAGGGACAAAGTTCTTGACAACCGTTAACAGAGGGAGAAACACTAATAACAGAAAGGGATGTGTATGGAAAGAACTGTTATCACTTGTGGGATTAGATCCCTCTTACGTTTTTGTTCTAAAATGAACGTCTTTAAAAAATGAAATGATTGTGGATGACGTATTTTTTAGTGTTCTTACTTGGCAAAATTGTAAAGTTGCGATCTCTAGCTAGTCCTTCCTCAAAATAATCATTTTGGGGGGGGTAGTGGATTCTTTTATTGAAGTATATCTGATTTACAGCATTGTATTAGTTTCAGATGTACGGCAAAGTGATTCAGTTATATGTATAAAAGTCTATTCTTTTTCAGTTTTTTTCCATTATATGTTATTATAAGATATTGGATATAGTTCCCTGTGCCATACAGTAGGCCCCTGTTAGTTATCTATTTTATATATGTTAATCCCAAACTCCTAATTTATCCCTCCTCTTCTTCCCCTTTGGTAACTATAAGTTTGTTTCTTATGTCTGTGAGTCTATGTTTGTTTTGTAAATGAGTTCATTTGTACCATTTTTTTGGATTCCACATATAGGCAATATCATATGATATCTGTCTCTGACTTACTTTACTTAATATGATCATCTCTAGGTCCATCTATGTTGCTGCAAATGGCATTATTTCATTCTTTTTTATGGCCGAGTAATATTTCATTTTATATGTAATTTTATTTATTTATACACACACACACACACACACACACATCTTGTTTATCCATTCAACTGTAGATGGGCATTTAGGTTGCTTCCATGTCCTGGCTATTGTAAACAGTGTTGTGGGTGGGGGAAGCAGATCTTATTGGGCTATGAAAGCCCAGAGTCTGGGACATACTGTGGCAGATGACACAAAAGAGAGTAGGACCAGGCTCCAGGCCAGAACCAGAACCACAGATTGGGAGGGTGAGGAGGGGACCAATGAATGCAGTCCAGTCTCCTCTTGATACCAGAGTATGTGCTAGAACACACCAGGTAAATGCTTGGCCGGCCCCCACTTGGCGCCCTTTGGTGACAGGTATCTCATTCCCTCTGCACACAGTTCATCATCTAATCTGATGATGGCAGAGTGCTTCCTTGTACTGTAGCGCAACCTGCATCCTTGGACCCAGGCCTATTCCTGGGAGCACCTCGAGCCAGGCCTTTCACCTCCAAGAAGACAGCTCCACACTGCACCCCTCCTGCCCAGTCTTCTTTAGCTGGGGTCTATTTGCTTCCCCTCAGATCCCCAATCATTCTTCTTGTGAGATGACTTGCCTGAGATCATTGGCTAGCAAGTGAGTTCAAAGCCAGCTCTTCTGCTCCTGGCCCAGTGCCCTGTCCCTAGTTCTCTAGATGTGGCAGTGGCTCAGTGTCCTCAGTTCATGAGATGGTTCTGGCTGTTCAGAACCAGTTGGAAAAATAACAAAGAAAGCAAAGTGGCGGGGGCGGGAGGGGGGAAGCAACATACAAAAAAAAAATGTGATCCCAATAAACACTTACATATCCACATTAAAAAAAGTTATGGAAGGAAATAAGGCAAAATTGTCATGGCAGTTACCCCTCGAGGTAGGCTGCCTGATGATTTTTACTTTTTCTGTATTTTCCACTTTTTCTGCAATGGTGTGGTTTTTATTTGTAGGATAGACTAAAATAATGACCATTTAGAAGGATGAAATAAGAAATGTAAAATTAAGGTAATCTCATCCTAAGACCCCATCTCAGTTCCCAGCCACTGTCCAGTGAATGAGGTTCTAGGGGGTCTGGTACTCCAGAGAAGACCCCAGATTGCCGTCCTGCCCTGGACCCGCAGACCCTCACACAGCTCTAACATCGCTGCATTTTATAGTAGCCTGACATTCCTGCTGTACTGGTCCCCGGCCCTTGGCTGTCCACATGGCAGATGCCAGACCACCCCGGGCTGTTGCCCATGTGCTCCCACCCATCTGCCCCTCCTCCATTCTGCTCCAGCCTTGCTGCCCTTCCCCACCCCCAGCAGGTTCCCCACTCCCCACCCCCAGGTGGAAGAGAGGAGAGGATGGGGAACAAAATGAACAGTGCAGAGGACCATGGCTCATCCCGGCAAGATCTGTTACACAGCACAGGGTGTACATATTGTTTTACAGATAGGAGATTAGTCCTTAGAGAGGAGATGTGTCATACATGGAGTGTGATGGAGCTGGGCCCAGATCCAGCCCTCTAATCTGGTCCAGTGCTTGCTCCGCTGATCTGAGCCCCTGGGTGTGACTAGGGTATGCTGGGTCCATGCGGAGTGCTGGGGCCACGGGTCACGGACACCCTCGGTGCCAGCTCTCCCAAGCAAGTCTTTGCCAGCTGCTCCCCAGGGCGCCTGGTAGTCCCAGACACATGTCAGCACTGAGCCAAGCCCTGATTAGAAGTGGAGGCCAAGCCTGGGGGTCAGAGTCCTGCCTGCCTTCCAGGATCTACCATGTCACGTGGCCCTGGGCGAGTTTCTTCCCTCTTGGGGACTCAGTTTTCCGATGGATAAAACCAGGGTGGGGACTGTTTGATAGTGATTAGGCTTGTGGTCTCCAAGTTTCTTTCCTGGCTGAACATTCAGATATTCTGCGACTGACCAGTGACACTGTCCCCCACCTGGGGACGGGAGGGCAGAAGCTTCCCATCCCGCCTTGCCTCCGGGCCGCCCCTCACCCAGGCTTTCCTGAGTGGAGAGTTGGTCTGAAAGAAGTCCCCCACCTCGTGTACAAGTGTTTGTGGGTGTGGAGATGTGCATGTGTAGGTGTGGAGGTGCGGGGGTGTGGATGTGAGTAGGGGGTACCCTAAGGACAGGCTCCCCATTTTGTATCTGGGACAGGCACATTCTCTAATTATATCACCTTTCTGAGGATTCTGTTCCCAGCTCCCTGAACCCCACGACCGCTCCACACCTCTTCTGGTTCCTTGACCTCTCAGTTTCAGCCTCTACCTCAAGCCCCGGCTCTGACTCTGCCCTAGAGCAGGTCTGTCACTTTGGAGGGGCCGCCCCTGCCCCTGCCCCGTGTGGTCTCTCCCTCAGGACCTGTCCCCCTGCCTGGGCCCTGGGCCCTTTTTAAAGAGGCACCCACAACTCTCAGAGCCCATCTTGTTCCAGACAGAAATGAAGATGGACTTTCACTGCATAGCAACACATTCAAACCATTATTCTGCCGAGACCCGAATGAAAAATCGGGAAGCACGCCACCGCCATGATTTGTTAACCTGACATTGCCTCTCTCTGCTCTTTGCACAAAGTTTAATTAAAATCTCAGAAGTGATTGGAGAGCCCTTTTATTGTGCACCTCTGGGCTCTTCCAGGAACCCTGGGGGAAGGGCAGGGCCTTTTTACAACAGGGATACAGGCTCAAGGATGGTCCCTAAAAGATTGCGAGTGGGGGCCACTGACAGCTGTCACAAGCACAGCCTGTTGGAGTGCAGGGAATCTCAGGGAGCACATGGGATCCCAGCTACTCCACCAATCCACCCATTTCACAGGTGAGGACACTGAGACCAGCACTCTGAGCACCTCAGCAGATCTCAGTGACACCGCCCCCACCCACCTCCACCCTACCCCCTGGACTCACCCGCAGGGCCGGAAGGGAGCTGACCTGGTCCATGGTCAGCGTGGCCTCTTTGTAGTGCTTCCCAGGGGGACAGAGTTTCAGGAAGGAGTCGTGGATGCTAAGAAGAGAGGCAGAGTGGGCTGGGAGCGGGGACCAGCAGGCCACCTCTCCCGCGGGCTCTCTTTGGAGGAAGGAGACTCAGGACTCATTATTGACTGATACAGAGAAGGCAGTTATAAATCATTCCACACTTCCAGAAACATCCGTGGGGCTCCAGTGTGCCCAGCACACTGTGGGAGATGCAGAGACAAGCCAGGCATGAAGGAAGGTACGTGAATGTGCCCTGTAACCACAACACACTCTACAAATGACCCAGAAAGGACTTCTGTCCTCACTTGCTCCAGTTCCTTATTTACGGATGGAGAAAACAGCAGAGCCTTGGGGAAGCAGGCATGCCACCTCAAGCCATCTGCCCAGCCCCACCCTCAGCCCAGAAAAAAAATGTTGCTTGGTGGGTGTGGCTGAGTCAGGATTAGAACCCAGTCACCTGGGGCCAGCAAACCACAGCCACCCTAAACCAGCAAGCTGGTTCCAGACTATGGGACTGAGCAACCATCCTCATCGATCCTATAATCAATGTCTCTGTCTGCAGGTCTCCTCACTGGTCAAGGGATTTTGCTTACGAGTGACAGCCAGGTCAAGAGTGAAATGTCTCTGTGAGCACCGAGAGGAAGAGGGTGGGAGCAAACTCTGCCCTATACCCAGAGGAGACTGCCCTCATCCTGTGTCCCTTCTGGCCTCCATGATGGAGAACGGACTCCATCAGCTTTGGAAGGGGCCCTGAACTGGCACCAGAGATTTTACACTAAGTTGGGGAGGGAGCCAAAAAGTGGAGTGTGGAAGGGATGAGGGGAGACAGTCTCCAGGAAAGTACAGGCAGGGCGAGGGACACTGAAGGGCAGCAAGGAGGAGAGGAAAGCCACCCCCCCTACCCCGCGAAGGTCCAGTGGCTTACAAGGGGAGGGGGCGGTGGGAGTGGTCTGCCCTATTCCGAAGGAGTTATTTTATCACTGTTATTGTTAGAACTGCTAGTGTAGGGTGATAAAAAGCAGACTGATTTTCGGTAGAAATTTCATTAATTTTTAAGAATTCTCTGAAGCCATGCACCTGTATAGCCGGTGCCCAGGGCAGGCTGCTTCTGCTGTCCCCACCGTGGTTCCCCACCGGGAGTGCCTGCTGCACTCGCCAACTCTCGTGGATTTTTTCATGGAATCTGTGTAACAATCTTGCAAGGAAGGGACCATTATCTCTATTTTACAGGTGAGGAAATTGAGGCTCAAGGAGGTAAAATAACTTGCCTTGCCTAAGGTCACACAGGGGTAAGTGTCAAAGCCAAAGTTATTGACACCAAAGCTCTTTCCCCAGGAGCCCAAAGAGGGAGGTCTCAGGACAGGAGGAGGGTAGAGAAGGGACCCCTACTTGCTGGTGCCACCCTCTTCCTGTCTCCGAAGCTCTTGTGCTCATTGAATCCTCCCAACAACCCTGTGGGAAAGGTGTGGGGTGATCATTTCTACAGACGGGTAAACCGAGGCTCAGAGAGTTGAAGGGGTCTGCTCAAGATCATAGCGCTTGGAAGAGGCAGAGTAGGGTCTGAACCCTAAACCAGGCTCTGCAGGCTATGTTGCTCACCTCTCAAGGGCCCACCCCTCATTCAGGTGAAAACCTCTCGGCCCCACCCCCCACCCTCCCCCAGAGAGCCTTCTGGGGAGGGGGTGCTGTGGGAAGGGCCCTGCCCCGACTTCATGCCTTCCCAGGCTGCAGATGAATCGTGGCTGCATCTCAGCTGCCACAGAGTATTCTCCTCCTCCAAATATGGATCAGCCGGCTCTAAATGGAACTCTGAATTAATCACTAATGGACTCGAAAGTCAAAGCCATTGGAAAAACTCACATATCCTGCCTGCCAGAAAGCAAGCGGCCCAGGCTTTGTCTCCCTTCCACACCTAGCCCAGACAAGGGGAGGGGCTGTCTGCGGGCTTGGAGGCTGAGACAGGGGAGGGCACCAGCTCTACGGCTCCCACTCTGCCGGAACTTGGACCTGCTTCGTCCCCTCCGGGCCTCAGGTTGCCCTTGATGTCTCAGCCATCCCTCTCTGTCCTCCAGGTCAGGCATTCTGTCCCCTGGGTCAGGCATTCTGTCCCTCTCTCTGGCGTCTGTGTTTGTATTGTACAGGCAGGACTGAGAACACAGCTCCAGGGCAAGCCTCCATTTCCTCTCCCCCATCCTAGCCCTGGCCCCCCAACCCTGGCTTCACCCCCATCCCTTGGGGTCAATAGTCCTTTGCCTTGTGGAATGGCCTGCAGGTGCTTTATAAATGGCCCTATCTCTAGCCTGAAAATGTGGCTTTTAGTCTTATGATCTACTCCTTCCAAGTTGTATGACCTTGGGCAGATCACTTGATTTCTCTGAGCCAGTTTCCTCATTTGCAAAAAGGAGATGATAATACCATGAAAGTCACAGCTGCCAGTCTCAGCACGGACCCCTGTGACAGGCTCTGCTCTAACTCCTGACGTGGGTTTGATCATCTAATTGTCCTAATAACAACCATGTGAGGTTGATACATATGATACTTCTTGTAACTGTGGAACTGAGGCTCAACAAGGGTAAGAAACTCATCCAAGGTCACAGAGCTGGCAAAGCTGAGCCTCGAACTCTGGCCTTTGGGTTCCAGGAAGCAAGCCTGTAACCTTCTGTTGCTCCCGGGGGACCAGGAGCTGATGGCCAGGACAGAGCCTGGAGATTGGAAAGTTTGGGGACCTCTAGGGTGTTAAGAGGAACGGGGGGCCTCAGGGCCAGGTCAGCCTGAGCAGGGGCTAGGGGCAAAGCTTCAGGCTCCCACATGAGACCCATACGCAGCCCAGCGTCTTGTCAGGAGTCATCCCTGGGCGATACAGCATACTCCAAATTGCTCACACAGAGTCGGCCTGACCCAGGCTCAGCCGCGGAGGTCTAAAGGAAGCCATATGCGCCCGTTCTGAATCAGTCCCAGACTCAGGGTCTACAGTCACTGCTGAAGTCAAGGGCCCGGGAGGGCCTGTGCACTGAGCCCAAAGAGATATCTGGAAGCCAGGGGCTTCGAGGGCAGCAATTCAACCAGAAGCTAGAGAGGGCTGACCTGGAAGCTGATGGTGAAAAGGACCCCGCTCTTCCAAGACCAACAGGATGTTAGGATGTGAAAGAAAATTCCCACAGTCTGGAATTTAGGGTAGACAGACTCCTTCTTGGAGAGCCAAGCCAAAGCAGCTCTGGACCAGGAAGAAGCTGTCACATGTGGTCTGCCCCTCCCCATGTGCCATCTGCAGATCTGGTGACCAGGCCTTTATGTCCTACGCAAGTCACAGATAAGAAGGTGGGAAAGTATTAGACAAGGGCAGAGCCACCCTCTTCCAAAGATTACCGCTGTTATCAGTCTCTTGGATACTTTTTTTTCCAACTGGCTCAATCTATCCAACTGTACTGTCATCCAAGCCACATTTCATTGTCATATTTGTAGGAAAATTACACATTGTCAGTGGTGATGTCAGAAAATTGTCCAAAAGGCAGCATTAAAAAAAATTTTGCTATTTCTCTTGGTTTTTCCTTAACATTGGCATTATATTTCTACATATGGTGCTGATACTGTCATTTATTGATATTTTTCATTCTAGACATTATTTTGTGATGTCTTATTCTTAAAAAAATAATTTATCTCCATCTGTATACTACTTCTTCTTCCCCTAACCTCCCAATAGAAAATGATTTACCTGAATCAGAATTCAGTGTCTATATTATTATCTACATATTATTTTTACATTTATGTATTAGTACATATTATGTGTGTATTATTCAAATATTGCTCACAACTGAGTTTCTTAGTGCAGCATGATTACATTTTCTTTCTTGTAAGGCTTTTTGTTTTTCCCAGAGTTAATAATCACTTTGTTTTTCTTTTGCTTAGGTTTCAGTATATCTATCATTATTTCATCCCCAAACTTTCTCTGCAGAACGGTAAAGTTCCTCTTAGTATGTTTACATACATTACATCATCTATAGGTTCACTTTGTTTTCTTGAGGGCATCATTCTTGGAACTCCTGACTCCTGATTCTAATCTGGACTCATTGCTTTTCAGGCCTGCTGCGTGCACCACCATCATCCTTGGGCTTCTCTCCACTGTATTCCACTGTGTTGACATCCTCTGTTTCCTGGCTCCCATGTCTTCTTTTTTCTTAGTTTACTTACTAGTTTTAATGGAAAATTTAGTTTACTTATTAGTTTTAATGGAAGCTCCAAAAGCTTCCTGAGACAAGGTGCATGAGGTAATTATTTTTAGAATTTACGTGTCAAAAAATGTTTCACCTTCACTCTTGATTAATCATCTAGCTATGACTTAATCCTACATTGGAATTTTTTCCTTAGAATTTTGAAGATGTTTAGCCACCATCTTCCAACACAAGACCAAAATTATTCTGATTCCTGATCCTCTGTTTGTATTTTTATTTTCCTTTATGGAAGCTTGTGTTCTGAAATGTAATGATGACACGACAGTGTAGACTATTAAAAATTCTTTCCTCAGATATCTAGTGCCTTTCAACTTTCAATTCATACTTCACTACTGAGGTTCAGACAAGCTGACCAGAGGTTCATTCTTGCACATCACTGTGACTGGTGGCCCTGAGTCGGGAACCTGCCTGGCCAGCTCTGTCCACATGGTGAGCTCCTGTCCTCTCTGGGCTCTGCTGGGCTGGGGAAGGGGTGCCAAGTGGATTGTAGGGCAAAAGAAGGAATCACATAAGACTTTCAGTCCAGTTTTCTGTTGTCATCTGACCCTGCATCCTGGCATTCCGAGGTTCCTGAGCCTTTCTGGGTTCTTGAGTCCATCATCCCAAACCCTGCTTCCAAGCAATCTGTTTCCAGTTTCCTGCTCTAAGTCTGTATCAGGGATCTATTTGCTTTCCACTTTTGACATTTTTGTTGACTTCTCTCAACCACTCTCACCTCTAGAGTTCTTTTGTCCTTATGTGTTTCTTTCTCTTTTTTTCTAATTCCTTTACACTTCTTTCAGTGGAGGAAAGAAACAGCGATAAAAGATGCTCATTTCTCCATGTTAACTGGAAGCCCTGGCACTTTGCTTTTTTCACTTTACAATATACCTTGGAGACGGCTCCACACCTAACATAAAACTTCTCCTTTTCTCGAAAGACAGTGTCCCACTGATGCATGGACTCATCCACATTTATTTCATTCATGCCCTCTTGATACAAGTGCAATGGCCAGGCCAATGCATGTCTCCCTTTCTGAAGCAGCCTTCCAGTCCTTCCCCTGTTCTCTCCATTCTTCAAAGCTCTTGACAGCTCTTCACATCCTCAGCTGCTCCCCAGGACTGGGTCTTCTGGGTCTGGAGACTCACCTTGGTTAGAGGCAGCAGCAAACTCTCCCTGTTATCACCCCACCCACCTTGAATTTCTGTGCCCACTCAGTGCTTGTCCTGCTCTGCCTCATCTGAAAGTCTCCGATATGGAGAAACAAAAGCAGAGTAGGCATGGAGCCACTGCATCTCCTCTCTGCCTTCCTGAAGCAATGGCGTCCCAACCCCCTCCCATCTCACTGACCCATCCTGCTCTTCAAGTCCCCCAGACGTGGGAGCCTGTGGGCAGGAGCTACCCAAGGGGCGGGAGCAGCCAAAAGAAGGGGCAGCCTGAGGCAGCTTTGAGAGAAGCTGGTGGGAGACACTGGGCTGAAGTGGAGCCTTTGCTGGCATCACTAGAGGGGCCCTGCTTCCCTGGCACAAATCAGATCTGGCCAGGCCCTTCTCATGGGGAGGTCATCTTCAGCAGGGGTGAAAAGAGGTGGGAAACAGGAACAAGGCAGGGGCAGCCTCACAGCCTGGGTGGGCAGCTCAGAGAGGAAGAGTCCTTAAGGACAGCTTTTCACCAGGACATCTTTCTGAGAAGGCCGGTATAGAACACATGAAGATGAGGGTCTATGTCAGAGAGACTGAACCCTCCCCTCATTCCTCTCTCTAGGTTCATTCCCCCCACCACCACCACGACACTCACTCCAGGGCAGCCTCGAGGGCACACGTGAGGAGCCCCAGGGATCCAGAGAATATCACTTGAGAGTCCTTGCACTTTCTGGAGTGGAGCAGGCATGGTCATGTTCAAGTGGTGAGAGAATAAATTAGTGCCAACTGTCTACAGGACAATCCTGTTACCTCATCAACATTTTAAATACACCCACCCTTTGCCCAGCATTTCTATGGCTAGAAATCCTTCCTATGGATTTTCTCCCACCTGTTGGATAAGCTCTTTGTACAGAAATGTTTACACTAGCCTTATTTGTGAAACTAAAACCCATAAACAGCTTAAGTGTTTGTTATGGAGGGGATGGTAAAATGTTTCTTCCATAGGAAGGAGCGTTCCACAGCCATTAAAAAGAACGAAGCAGATCTCTATGTGCTTTATGTAGAACTAGTTAATGTGAAAACTTAAAGAAAAAAAAAAGGTCCAGAACATTATGAACCTACACTATGAACGTGTAAACGCAACAGTTTGAATGGGATACAATTTCTTAAGGATATTTATGTAGGTCTAGCTATGAAACATTTTTTTCTAGAAGACTCGATGAGAAGCTAACTGTGGGCAGTGGCTATCTTCAGGGAGAAGGCCTGGGAAGAGGGAAGGGACATATTTACATTTCATCTAGAATTTTCTCTGCTATTTGAATTTTCTAGCCATGCTCACATATTATTTTTTAAACTTTGTTTCATTTTTTAAAATATTTGGTTCTTTCAGTTTTAGTCCAGTGTTCCTTTTTAGAAAATATCAATAAGAGATATATGGGTTGTAAGATATAGGTTATTTGGAGTTTTGCCATATTTTTCCATATTTAAAAAAGTAAATAAATATTAAGTTTAGAAGGAAAATCATGTAACCCTGTGACTGTCCCTGGTCTCCATGGCTCCCTGTGACTCAGCCATCCCTCAGTCCCCATCTGAGCCTGGGGAGTCTCATGCTTGTAGCAAAGTCTTTGCCCTGACTGGGACCTTGCATGGGAAGTGTGGCTTCCAGGCTGGGCATGATGGTTGGGGAGGGTGAGTCCAAGCAGAGGGTCTCAAAGTGGTCACCTCACTCCAGCTGCACCCCACCCCACCAAAAATGCCTTAGTGAGCCCACTTATTCCTCTAACAAGTTTTCATGAGCACCTGGCCCACCTGGGCTCTCCCACATCTCTCGTGCCAGCTACTCCCTCTGCAGTCCCGGCAGGGATCGTCGTGATGGGTGTCTTTAGCCTGGTGCCTTCCCCGCTGTCCCATCGCCTGCATGAGAACAGGAACTGTGCACTGCTCCCCATGACACTCCCAGTGCCATCACTGTGTCTGCCATGTACCAGGCACTGGAGGGATGCTTGGGAGGGAAGGGAGGGCTAAGAGAGACTCAGCAGCGCATCAGCTTTACCCAGCTAGTGGGTTAGCCAATCAAATGGGCTTCAGACCTATTTCCTAAGTCCTGTCCTCCTTTTCCTCATCATCCCAGGGAGGTCCTGTCCACCTCTGGGATTGTATGAAGAAACCCTGCCTTGAATCCCATAGCAGCCCAAAGCTTAACATTTGATTCAAATCTAGTCGTATCCTGGAAATCATGACCTCAGACCCCTGGGGCTGGGGTCCGTCTCTGCCTGTCCGCGGTCCCCTCATCTCCAGCACTCAGTAGCTCTGAGCAGGGACCACGCTCAAGGACCAGAGTGAGGCTGTACCAGGGCAAGACTGCAGCTCAAGGGGAGGGAGAGGGCACACCCTCTACTCACCACAGGATTTCATTTCTGGTCAAGAAGGTCAAGGCCTGCAACAAACCACAGAGAGGTGACCTGCTCACTCTGTCCAGCCCTGCCCTGGCCCCCTGGGGAGCAGGGAGCTTCAGGGACCGGGGAGGAAAAGCTCATGCTGTCATGCCACAGCCAGGGAATGGAGGCTCCTGGCCCTCGGCAGTGGATGCCAGAGGTGGTGGAGAGGAGGAAACAGTGCCCTGCCCTCCTCTCCCGTCTCTGATGGCCTCAGGGAGGAGCACGTTAGTACAGAAATGCAGAGAGGATTGGACACAATGCTAAAACCCTGCGCTCTGGAGCAGAAGACAAATGGGGGAGGGGTCCTCGGAAGGCTGGTCTGGATCACATGGATGGAGGTTTAGCAAAGGCAAGGGCCATCACCACCCTGCCTGATAAACTCTCCAGCTTCAGGCAAGAGTTTGCCTACCCATCCCACCAGCCTCAGGAAGCTCCCGCCTCTGCCCAGCATCTCCTGCCTGACCTACCCACCTGGTATTCTTCCAAGTCCTCCCAGTGCATCTGGTACCTTAAACATTGCCCCATGCCAACCCCACCCTTCTCTCTGCCAGCGGAACCTCAGCCCCTAGGGCTCATCAGCTGTGCACTAAGTGATCGGTTGTCATGGTAACCTACATTCCACCTTCTGCCCATTCTACCTGAGCCCCTGAGTGGGCAAAGAAACAGATTCTTTTGGTTCCCAAGGCTAGTTGACATCACCCCCGAAACAGCAAACAGAAAGGAAGCCCAATAGCAGGTCTGAGAGTCATACTGTTGTCCCATTGCCTGGGTTCGGATCCCAGATCTGCCGCATGCTGACCAGACACGTGACTTTCAGCAAGTTACTCAACCTCTCTGTCTTAGTTTCCTCATCTGTAAAAAGAGAATCATAAATGACTACTTTATAAAATGATCGCAAGGCTAAAATTAAATGATAGATCTATAAACCTCTTATTTAGCAAGGTACCTGGCACATAAGGAGTACTTAATAAAGGTAAAGCAATATTATTACTTTTTAAAGTTGGGCCTGGAAGGAAGGGTAAGATTTTAGCCAGCAAAGTCCGTAGTTCCATCCCATCTTCTGGTTAACCCTCTGAGCTCCTATTCTCATTTACTGAGCAGCTTTTCTTGCCAGGTGTGTCCACAGATACTGTCTCCTGCTGTGCTCACAGAGCTCTGGGGAAGGCGGAAGCTGGTGTGGTCCAGTGATGCTATGGGGTCACTCAGCTGGCCAGTGGCCAAGGAGGGAACTGAAGCCTGGATCGCAGGACTGGGGTTCCCACAGTGCAAGGTGGGAACTAGGGGAGCTTTGGGATCGTGCCCCGGAAGGCTACTTCCTTCTCAAGTCTCGCTCGCTTGGATCTCTTGTTCCAGGAGGTGTAAGTGGCAGCAGGCACTGGTGTGTGCCTTTCACACCTGGTTGACACTTGCTAAAAGGAGAACAAAAACAAACTAGAGAACATCCCTGCTGCTCAGAGCTTTTAGCTACTCACTCCACAGCTATTTACTGAGCCTGGCAGTGGAGACAGAGTGATTAAGCCAGACAAGACCCTGCCCTCGTGGAGCTAGACGGCCGTAGGAAAACCAACACCCCTTAGTGATAAGGGCTATGAAAGAAACAAAGCAAAGATGGAGATGGGGTGGGGCTGGAGAGGCTTCCTAAGGAGGGGCCACTTGGGCAGAGACCTGAGGGATAAGGAGAGATGAGCCAGACTGAGAAGACCAAAGAGTTTTCCAAGCCCAGAAAGGAACAACTTCCAGCTAGAATTTAATGACACTCTTTGGTTTTCCTTATATTCGTTTATATAGTTCCTTCCATTCTGAAAATGACGCAGGTTTGCCATTTATACCTGTGATATATTTCCTTTATAAGTGTATCTGTTTGATGAAGAGAAATAGGAGCCCATATAAAGAAAAATATTAAGTAAATAATTAGACTGGTGGTAACAGAATATACCAGAAGCCACAAAGCTGTCTCTCTCTCATCTCACACACAGGTAACCAAGGTTGGCAAATCCTGCTACCCTCCTCTCTCCTTTGGTTTCCATCCCCTCACATCGCTTCCCTCACCCTCTGCCCACTCCACTCCCACACACAGGCTCTGTGATTTCATCCTGGAGGGGGTTTTCATTGGTTCCCACAAATAACAGTAGTAACAAAAAGAATATCACCTTACATTTGCATAGCTCTTTGTAATTCCGAAATGCTTTTCTATGTGCCTTCCCATTTGCTCAAGAAACAAAAGCCTATGCTCCTTACAAAAAAAGAAAAGAAAAAAATTCCCCAAATGATTCTGCCTTCAATACACTAACCAGCTAGCATCCTTACCCACCTCCAGCCTACAATCTCTCAAACTCCTCTTTGGCAGGGATTCTGAATGGAGAGCAGGCCCACGCCTGCCCCAACAGTTCCGCATCCTTCCCCTCCAGGGTACGTCCCTTCATGAACCCTCTGCATGGCATGAAATGCATTTTTGCGAAGTTTCTGTCACCTGGCAATGAACTCCACCGACTGTTCAAACAGCAACCCCTACTCTGACCTTGATTTAGATGTCTCTTCAAATTCAAAAAGGGCTGAGATAGAATTTGTATCCAGAATACATAAAGAATGCTAACCACTCAACAATAAAAAGACAAATTTTTTAAGCCCAACTTAAAAAAACAGGCAAAGTATTTAAAGAGACATTTCTCCAAAGAAGATATTTATGAATGACCGAGGAGCTCATGAAAAGATGCTCACCATCCTAGCCATCAGGGAGATAACAAATCAAAACTGCAGTGACACACCACTGCACATCCACCAGGAGGGCAAGGGTGTGGAGAAATCAGAGCCGTCATACACTGCTAGTGGGCATGTTAAATGGTGAGGCCACTTTCGAAGAGATTTTGGCAGCTCCTCAAAATATTAAGCAGAGTTACCATATACTAAAAACAAGACAATAGGCTCAAAATGGAGTCACTCATGCTAAACCCTACATCACCAAACCAAAACTTAACTTAATTAGTTTCAGCTCTCCCAGAAATGCAATCTTAAAACCAGTCAGCCAGGAATTGGTTGATCAGCGCAAGTGAGGTCGTCTGCCCGACAGACCCCTGCCAGCCCCGAAGGGAAAGTGACTGTGGAACAACCAATCTGCTTTTTGCTACTATAATTTCCTCATTCTTCCTCGCTTCTGCCTATAAAAGCTTTTCCTTTTGTGCAGCTCCTCAGAGTTCCTCTCTATCTGCTAGATTTTGATTCATGAATCATTGAATAAAGCCAATGAGAACTTTAAAATTTACACAGATGAATTTTGTTTTTTAACAGCTATGATCCAGCAATTCCACTTCTGTCTATATACCCAAGAAAAATGAAACCATTTGTCCACATTAAAAAAAAAACTGGTACATGAATGTTCATTGCTGCTTTATTCACAACAGCCCCACAGTAGAGACAGCCCAAGTTTTCATTAACTGATGAATGTATAAATAAAAGGTGATGTATGCATCCAATGGAGTGTTATTCGACAATAAAAATAAATGAAGTATTGATACATGGTACAGCATGGATGAAGCTTGAAAATGTAACACAAAATGAAGGAAGCTATTCACAAAAGGTCACATACTGTATGATTTCCTTTATATGAAATGCCTAGAATAGACAAATCTGTAGAGACAGAAAGTAGATCAGTGGTTGCCAGGAGCTAGGGCAAGGGGAGTCTGGGGGAGAGGCGTTCCTGCTAATAAATATGGGGTTTCTTTGGGGGGTGATGAAAATATTCTAAAATTAGATGGTGGTGATGGTGGTACAACTCTGTGAATACACTGAAAAAATACCAAGTTGTACCCTTTTAATGAATTGTATAGTATATCAACTATATTTTAATCAAGTGTTTACTGAAAACAATTTCAAGAGGGCTTTATGCCCGAACTTAGTGCATGACACATAGTAGGGCCACCATAAACATTAAAGGAATGTGTAAGTGAGATAACACATTTTGAATTTGTTTCCGATCTACTTCCTCAGCCTATGAGTCTTGTAGCCCAAGGGGGCTCCCCCCACTGCAGCTGTTCAGTGCTGAGGTGAGGGTAGATCTTGCTGGAGAAAGTCACTGCCCAGCTCTGAACACCAACTAGGTTTTTATTTGAATTCCCTGCAACTGAGCAGACTGGGAAACCACCCTCTGTCTGGAGAGAGGATTTTCTAAATTCCTTTGATGTGGCAAGAGAAAGGTCTAGGGGCGGGGGGTGGTGCAGATCCTGTTCTTTGCAGGGGCATCCTGACAGGCAAGAGAAAAAGGGATGGAAGGCCTGCCCTTCCATCTTAGGGACAGAGGGGATGAGGAAGGTGGTGAGGAAGCTGGGCTGTCATGTGCTCAGGACCCAAAGATGGGCGTCAGGATTTTAGAAACATCCCTGGATGCTGGGAATCTCAGAGCTTGAGTCGTACTTCTCCAGGCTCACTGGTGAGGGGAGTCGGGGGTACTGCTCACCTCTAGAGGTCTGCCTTCTAATCCCGGCCATTTCCAGCACAGTGCGAAGCCCAGGTGCCCCAGCAGCAGGGGAAGTGGGACCATGGCAGGGCTCCCGGCTTCCCTGCAGTGCAGGGGACCCAGAAGCTCCCACATGCCCCAGGGAGAACATCAGAGGGGCTGAGCTCTCAAGCAAAGTCCTGGCCAGGATGCAGAGCCCAGCAGGCCCTTTCCCAGGAACTAATGGGACACCATGGACCCCCCAGTGCATGTCAGCACAGTACCCTGAAGGCCTGGTGTGACTGTCAGACCTCATTGGACCCCAGCAAAAATGCAGAGAACAAGCACAGACCCAAGGACGCCTCCCCATGGCCAGGGGAGCCCCCCTCATGCACCTGGATACCGACTTGGGGTACAGGAGCAGTGACAAAGCATGAAGCACTGAATATTTACACAAAGGGACTGGCTCACCCCAAGAGACCGTTTAAAGCAGTTCTTCTGTTTCCCATTTACATTGTCTGTGGGAAGAGAAGGATTGTTAGAGCGGAAGGTGGTGATGTTGAAACAGACAGTGAATCTTCAAATAGATGGAACGTTTGTACGGGAAAGAAATAATTCAACTTAGAAGACAATGAAATATTATTAACGACAAGTCTAAGGGTGGAGACTTGAGAGGAAGATCTGAGCAGCGTTAGAGAATAAACTCTTTTCCTTGCAGGCTGAGGAAAGGCTCCATGGCTGGGCCAGGAAGAGAACACTGAAGTCAGAGCAGCTGGAGGGGGCCTGCCTGGGAAGCCAGGGAGAGCCCAGGCCCCTGAGGGCTGGTCCAGCAGGCCCTAGTGACCCTCACCAGCCAGACGAGCTGGGCTGGAGCCTGGACGCTGACAGTGAGGGAAGGAGGGTAAGGTGGGGGATTCTGGCCAGGTGTACCCTACACCGCCCACTGTCTGTAAGCACACCACACATCACCTTTCCCGTCACACTCAGCTCAAGGGCATGAAACACAGCTGCAAGTTCTGGGGTTCCCAGGTCCTCTGTGCTTCTACTAAGTGGCCACTACCCCTCAGGTTTGGTGATTCGTTAGAACAATTCACAGAAATCAGGAAAGCACTATTCATATGACAACAGTTTTATGAAAAAGGGTACAAATCAGGATCAGCCCAAAGAAGAGACACATCATGGGAAATCTCAGTCTCAAATGTGAAGCTTCTGTGTCTTCAGGATGCATCGCTCTCCTGGACCGTGGATATGCAACACTAACCAGGAAGAGCTCACCCGAGCCTGAGTTCAGAATTTTCTTGGAGTCTCATCCTGTGAGCATGGTTGAGTGAATCATCAGTCACGTGACTGCACTTAATCTCCGGGCTTCCACCCCTCCGCAGAGGTCAGGCTGACATCAGCTGGCTCAAAACTCAAGCCTCTAATTGCATGGTTGGTCCTTCTGGCACGGCCAGCCCCCATCCTGAGTCATCTCATTAGCATGAACTCAGATTTGATCTGAAGAGCCCACCATGCGTAGCTAAGACACTCCTATCACTTGGGAAATCCCAAGGATATAGTGGTTACCTCCTAGGAGCCTGGGAATAAGCCATCTGAATTCTTTCTTACACAACACTAGGAAATCTGGGGTGGGGTACAGTTAGAGAAATAAAGAACTAGATCCAACCTTTTGAAAAGAAAGAGACCCCTTCCTCCCCAGAGGAGAGTGAAATTTACTTGGGGTTTAAATAGATTCACCCAGAGGCAGAACGTGGACAGCTAATACCTTGAAATTTAAATCTTTGTGTTCTTTTCCACTTTCTCATAAGAGACTTTTTTTTTTAGTCTCTCATTCACATTGCCTGGGGGAGAAGTTAAATTGCTATAGTAGAGGAAAAGAGCTAGAAGCAGCCAGTGTTCCTTTTTTTATTAACAAATCAGAATTTTGAGAATCCAGAGGGAAAGCTGAGGGAAGCAGGGTCCAGAGTTTATAAGAGAAGGACAGAGAGGAAGTATTACATCACCAAGGAGGCTGGCAAGGATCTCCCAACTTCCCACTTGGGGCACTGCCACTGCCAGGCCTGTGGGGCCCAAGCCTGCAGACAAACCATTTGTTAACCGTTGGGGGGGAGCATCACTCACTGCCTAGAGGGAGGAGCCACATGAGTGATCCACTTCCTTGTCGGAGGGGCAGACGCTCCATCTCAGGTCCAGTCCAGCTGTCACTCAAGGACCGTCCAGCAGAACAGCAGTTTGCTTCCCAAGGCTCTGCTGAACACCATCTGAATTGCCCAGATGGACAGACCCCACCCCACCCCATCTTCAATGGCCCGGGACACCACAAACTCCACAGAAAAGAGGGTGGGGGGGCCTGGACACTCAGAGGGTGGAGGACTGGTAGGGGTATGGGAGGAAGGTCCCAGCACCCGTTCTCTCATGTCCCTGCCCCTCTGCAACTTACATCAGATGCCCTGGGGCCACAGGCCCCACCCTGACTTCCAGCAATGCTGCGAGGACAGTCTAGGAGAGTTGGTCCACCTCAGAGTGTTGCCCCAAGGATTCTCTTTGTGTTTTCTGTCCCAGGTGGGTAAGCACAGCCCAGAAGTTCCAAGTGACACTCCCAGGGGCGGGGAGCCTCCAACCATGAGGCTGAAAACTGGTAGAGAAAGGCTCCCACATCCACACTTCTGGGCGACAGCTCTGGGAGGCGCTCTGTGGTTTCTCAGCAGGGCCTGACGGGGTCATAGCCCTTTGAGTCAGAGTGATCTAGACACACACCCCTAGTTGGGCTTCTCCTCTCTCCCCAGCTCCTCACTCCTGCTCCCTGGGATCGGCTCTCAAGTAAACCACCTGTACAAAATCCTGGTTTCAGTCCTGCTTTTGCTGACACCTCACTGGGGCACCCATGACATTGTCAGGAGCCCCTGGGGGTGCTGCCGAGCCACGTGAGAAGAAAGGACATTGCAAAGACTTTGCATTCTGACTGAACTAGTCCTGAAATTTTAGTTCCAAATTCCCACTGACAAACGCTAAAGATCATTCGTCGTACATCTTCATTTTACAGTAGACGCAGGGCCCGAGAGGAAGCACTTCTGAGATCACGTGGGGAGATGAGGCACAGCGGGATCTGGAACCCAGCTCATTCCAGGTCTCCTCCCTCCCAGCAGGCCTCTAAAAGCTGCTTGCTGGAGGTCACTGTGCCAGTTTAATGAGATCCTATCTGTGGAAATGTCTTGTAAACTGTGAAGCATTATAAAAATGCTATTCGTCATGATTTGTGCCAGACCTGGGACCGCAACCCAGATCTGCTGGCTCCCCGGCCAGCGCCGTAAGCCCAGCAATAAGAAGATGCATTCAACAGCAATTCACAATTCCTTATTTTCAGAGTCACACTCAGAGACACTTGTTAACTAGAAACCCCACGCCAGCCTCCCTCTCTCTCCTGGGCACTCTCCACACTGCTTTC